TGAACTTCACATATTTCATTGTATCTGACATCTCCTTCTTGTAAGAACAAATACTCCTTTTCTTGCTTTAGTATTCTGGATTATGCTAACAACTCAATTGATTTAAAACTCAAAGAAGCTTTTTATATAAATAAGATCAAACCTGCACTAAACAAACAATTACAGCATTATAAAACTTTTCTAGCCTTTTAGTTCACACCGTTGATGTTTGGTGTCACGTTGTAACCCACTTTTGTATTACATCATACTGTAAATATTTTATTCATCTACTTGTCTGTTATATAATTACTCACGTTCTGTCACTCAGTGATTGAAGATGGCATAAGCATGCCGAAACATGTCTCTGAAAAAAATTGTCTATTTCTTTCCTATTGATGATTTTAAATGGGATAAGATTAGTTTTTCCGCCCAGTTAGAGTAATTATGTTGGTATTGATCATGGAATTAGGTGGGTTCATTTGGACAGATCAGTTGGACGAGTGCACGCGTGACTGTATAAGGCCAACAGAAACCACTAAAGAGAGGGTCACAACGCCACACATATAATTTTATCGAGACGAATTAACCTTTCGGTTTCGTAGTATTGGGGTAAAGCAGTAGTTTTAGTCATTTGTAAGGCACAGTTCATACTTTAGTTTTTTCTGGCCGCTGTTGTTATCATTCCGAGAACAGGTAAGACCCGTTAACATGAATTTTTGTGCAGTTTTCGTTCGGGATAGCATTCACTATCACCATATAACAAAGGGCAAATAACAGAAATTGACGCTGGGAATAAGCATTATACCTGACTAACGCTAAAGGGTTACAAACATTTGTTTAAAAATGCGTTTTTTAATCACCGGAATCCTTTTTCAGTCGAAAATAAGTCTCGACAATGATTGAAAAATGATAGGGAGCAGCTTGCAAAATTAGTGTAACAAGCTTTGGTGATCAACTCGATTGCTTTAGACTGGGTTCCAACCTGAAAGTTCTTTTTTTTTCATTATTAGATGGAATCTTAAGGCTCGAGTTGTTTCCTTTTGTTTTATTATATTGGTATGCAAACGAAATTCGTTCAAAAGGTAACTTTAAGGGTCGTCTTCCGGTAAATTAGAAAGCTTATGAGGCGCTGTTTTATGGCACCTATACCACCAAAAGTTATATGTAAGTACAAGCGTTCATTACTTGTTATGACATCGCTGTGCATTTGATTTAGGTGTAAAAGGTAAATCCTGCCAACCAGCCTGCACCAACCAGCCAGTATTTCTCCAATAACTGTAAGTTAAAGCCACTTTTTACTGGTATTCAAGTTAAACGATTCTTGAAAAGGAAAAAGACAGTTTTATTAGTTTGTTTGTTGAAGTTATTACTCTTTGCGAATACCAGGTACCAGATCCTGATGAGATGCTGGCAAAATGATGCACATGTTCGACCAACATTTACTGAGTTAAGAAACGATCTTAAGGAAATGGAAACCCTACACAAGGTGAGACTTGTGACAATGATGACGTAACTATCTGATTTTCACCAATGGTGGATTAAGTCTTAGCTAGTTACCATGTTGTTTATAAACAGTTGAAATTAAGACCATTGTCTCTATTAAGGTCAGTAGATAGTTTCTTTTTAACAGCTGAGTTTCAAAAGCTGAACTATCGAGCATTATTCACGATAATAGTTATGGGTACGCACTCTATTTTGATAATCTCATGATTTTGTCGTTTTGTTTTCTCCACAGAGACTGATCAACATGAACATGTGCGACAGGCAGTTGTATGCAAACGTTGAGGACTTAAACGTTTAGTCATCAATCTCTTTTATATCGCCTCACGCAGGATTTGCAGTAAACGTGCATTTTCTTACTCGATATTGGCTGGGAAACACATACTTGCTTCAAAAAAGCCGAGATTGGAAAGAGTCACATCATAGTGTAAAAAATAACAGCCTTATCTGAGTCCTTTTAAACCTCTCTGATGATAACGATGACCTTCTCTACTTTTAGAAGCTTTCTGTATTTTTCACTTTTTTCGTTTGGTTTGAAAAATGATATAAAAGCAGGTTATATTAATAAAAGCAGATTATACTTTAAGATGCATAAACATCATCAAGTTTTGACTAATGTTGTGTGACCTTGTGTGACCGTTTCTAAAGTGAGCACACTCCCATTTCCCCTTAAAAATCATTAAATACTCCAGATAAAGAAAAGATGTAAAGTTCCTGTACTGTGATGATGGGATATGCTGCAACCTGGTCAGCATCGTATAATTCCTTATGTATTTTCTTACAATGCCTATCGTCGTGGGAAATGATCATATAAATCAAGAAATGTTTATGTCTACAAATAAGAAAAATTCAGAATTAAAAAAAAAAGCAAGAATTTTCTTTTCGTAGACGTGCTAGAAGTGGAATGGGATACCACTTAATTAGAAAATTTCACCTTAATAGAGAAAGAACCAATTCTTGTTTTCAGACGTTTCAAGGGTGATTTTGGATCGGTTGGGATGGTCATCATTCTGATAGACTTTAAGATCTCGGTGTTTTCCTACAAAGGGTAAACTGAATCCTGGGTCATTGACACGATCCAGTTACAGGAAACAAACAATCAATTCAAACTGAATTCAATTTATCAAGGGAAGAGTTCTCATATATAATGTCCATCCATTATTCGTTGTTGTTTTTTCGTTTTGGCCATGTTTTGCCAAGAAAATGCAGTAGTAGTATCTAGTATAAACATATTTTGGCCCAGGTTATTAACGACTTAGGTTTCTAAGCACGAAAGAAGCGTAAGAGTCGCGCAAGGTGATAGCCAAGAAGGACTCTAGCTTCTTGAGTGCCAAGCAAACCTCCCAAGTACATCGATAACTCAATAGTGTACACTGCAACTTTTACCATTTGATTAATAACATAACATTGATACACTGTAGCAGTAGAGTTTCCTTTGATTTAAGAATTCACTGGAGAACAGATAAAAACAAGCGCGCGCGGAAAACTAGTCTTTGCATTTACTCACGTCAGCAGCGTACACCCAAGGGCAAATGGTGGACGCTGAATTGACTAATCAGAGGGCAGGCTTTACTTTGGTTATATTATAATTTTCAATATCTTATTCTGAATAATGTTGTTCCTTATATCGCGCTCTACAATCGTCCTATAAAAAATTTCAACGAAGATGTCCCTCCATCACGAAATTCTATGAAAAGTCTGCGAAGAAATGCACCATTCTTGGATTAAGGGTACATTATAGCTCTACACAATGATCATGTTGAATTATTCCCAGGCTGGAAGGGTGGAAGAGGTCACCGATGTAATTTGATTCAGCTGCGTATTACATTAAGCTCTAAAAAGAGCTGTATTTTTCTAAACTGGTCACACTCGTCGTCATCACTTTCTGATCGGTATGGCTAGGGCCTGACAGCTGCTTCTCAGAACATTTCTATCAATAGCTGTAATTTAGCAACTCTACTTAAGTTTGGGTTTTGATTGAGTTGAGTGCAACGAGATTTGTTGTCATTCTTGAGTACGTCGCGGATAAGCGTGACGACTAAAGTTGAGCTTGCGACCTTTTAACAGGGGGTCACATCATTCAGATCATCTCAGACCACAGCTGAATTGAAGGAATCCGTTTCTTTATCGAAGCTGTACTTAAGATATTGAAGTGCATGATGCATAAGGTCCAGGTAATCTTTGATTGCTTTGTGACAGTGGTCGTATTCATTCCTGTAGCAGGTAGGTGAAGTTTGTTTCTCATTTCATGTGAACAGGAGCGGCTCCTTTTCACCACACATGGATAGCTTAAAGCGAAAATTACTAATCAGAATCTGCATTTAGTGCTCTAAATAAAACGATATTAATTTAGACAGTATAACATAACAATGACTCGTTATAGTCAAAGTATTCCTTCTTAACTGGCTATACCTGCATACTTGGTAAAGTATTCTGCTAGTGCAATTTTGGAAGTGCGGGCAGTGTGACGAAATAACTCCAGTCGATGGTATCGCTTACAATTAAAAAAAAAAAACATCAAAGCGGAATAATAATTCTTCAGCTGTCCTTTTGTTTCTATTTTACCTAGTTTTCTCATGTTCAAGTGATAAATTAAGTCCAAATGCTTTTTTTAAACGCAGACTCTTTCTAAATAGCGCTCTGCAGTTTTTCTTTCATTCTGAATTTGTTCACAGGTTGTTATAATTAGCCGAAGAGTGACAAATTGGTTCAGAATCGACTTAACATTATTAACACAATAATGCAACTCACACTAGAAAAACATGGCTACTCAATAACACTAATCCCATGAACTTAAAAATAACCATTTTTAGGCGGAGTACAGAATGAAGAAAGTTTTTAATTTCGTTTATATGTTTCTGAAAAACTTATATTTCGTTGTCTCAGTGTCATGTTCTTGGTGGTGATCACATTTTGGATTTAAGGTTACTTCCCACCTTCGCGGGTGTCATTCGAGAAAAAGTTCGTACGCGCGCTAGTTCCGAGAAAACCGTAACAAACTATACATGAAAAGAAAACTTGATAAATGCAGTTTACGATGAAACAAAATATATAGTTTAGGAGTTTTTTTTTTTTATTTTTTAATTTGTTTTTATTTAGGGAGTGTCAGGAGTAGGTAAGGCGTAAAAAGACCAAGGGTCTTTCTATTGAATTTGTAGGGCATCGGATCCTGCAACACGAACAAAATTGCAGTACAGTCTTATTCACAAGGCATCAATCAACAAACACGTGTCAGGCTTTTTCGATATTCTAATTAGTTGTCTAGATATGCGCATCTAAATTTGGAGCAGCAGAAAGTATGCGAAACGTGTTGCGTAAATGGATACCACGTGAAAAATATTTTAAATATCAACACTTTCGTTCGTCATTCCCGGAAAATCTCAGCGAAATCTCACGAAAATCGATAAAATTTATATACCCTTTAAATTTGCTCAAAGTGGATGTATTCCTCTCAAAATCGGATGCGAGATTTTAGCTCCTAAAGGTTTGTAAACAACCAGTACCGCAACAAGAGATTATCTCGCCTCCTAAAACCGCAAACTCAAGATTTTCTCGGGAAAAGTATCGCATAGCACTCACGTTTTCTTTTATCTCGCTCTGTTGAATGTTAAGTAATGGGCAAAGTTAGCAGGAGAAAAACCAGCAGCAAAAAGGGTAAAGCTGGAGAAACTGCTGAAAAGAAAATCTCTGGTATATGACAAGTTTTCAGTTACTATCAGAACCACTCTGGGAAGCAGCTGTCAGATTCAGTAACATACACCTGAATCACAATAGGGTAATGGCGTGTCAGATAACTTAGATAAACAGAGGGTGGCTAAATATACACCTGAATCACAATAGGGTAATGGCGTGTCAGATAACTTAGATATACAGAGCGTAGCTAAATACACACCTGAATCACAATGACTACACCAGTGACCCAGTGACCACTTTTGGTCTCAAAATGATTTACCTCGACATGACTGTTTATCTTTTTATAACATTAAGTGAAGCTATCATGGAAACAGAATCAAAGAATAGCTCACTTACCTGTTTGCCCTTTTTCGGTAAATTTTTGCTTTTTTCAAGTTAATGCGGATATTTTAAGGTTATATATATATATATCTTTTGGGTAAGGGCTCGTAAAATGAAATGCGAGAAATTAATAAATAAAAAACTTAGAGTGGTATGTCTAATAACGCATTCTGTACATGATTGTGCAGCAAGCGCTTTGGACAATTTAAGGTTACTTGCCACGTTATCAATATTGTTTAGTTTGAAAGTCTAAATTACATGATCTACATTTTGTAGTCGCAAAATTTTCCCACGTTGGGTGATGCAAAAGTAGTATAGTTATCATATGCTTATATTTTAAATTGATTGGAACGAAATTTATTGTATTTTCTGAGCACCTCGTTTGAACCTCGTTAACAAGCGTGACTGCTGAAGTTGAGGCTGCGACACTCTCCTAGGGGGTCACATTATTATTTACATAATTGTGGAACGCAGCTTAAAAGATTTTAAGGTTGTAGGAAATAACAGCCCGTAGCTTTTAGTGATGCAGAAGGTCCAGGCAATCGTCAACTCATTTATAACTGCTCTCTTACTCACTCCTCTAGCAGGTATGTGAGTTTTTTTCTTTGTTTTGTTTGCTTTGTTTTCGTTTTGTTTTGTTTTTGTTTGTTTTTTGTTTTTTTTCTTTTAAAAATTGCGAGACAGGACCCAATCCTTTTAACATGACACAACAGTTTCGAAATAGCGAAAGGTGGAAATGACGGCTAGGAATGAACATTCCATGCTCTACCCAAACGATATTCAATCTGAAGGTACAACGTAAGAACGTCACGCGGCGATTTAGCAATACCCTCGTGTCTTGCCACACATGCACGCTCAATAGATTATATTTCCATTGTAATGTTGAAATTGGCAGTGTAACGAGATAACAGCAGTCAATTGTATCACTTATAATTCAAACAAAGTCAAAGCGAAACAATGTATCCTAAGCTTTCCTTCTGTTCCTTTTAACCCCATTTTCCCAATTCAAGTCTTAACTTATGTCCAATTGTATCTTAAATTTTGTGCAGCCATTGTTAAGTCTTGATATATAGTTTTGCGTCATCACAGCACTACCTGAAAAGGTTTTGACGGCTTTCGAACGCATTGTTATGTACCGCAAGACATACTGTGTCAAAAGTTTGAAGTCGATAATGCTAAATTGCTTGATATAAACCTGTCTTTTCCACGCTTTTGTCACGCAAGCTTTTTAGCAGAATGCCGAAACTATACGTATTGTCATTAGCCGAGAGTGAACGTTTTCTCCGTAAAGCCCCTTCTAATTTAGCTGTGTCAACGAATTTTTAAATCACAAATCGAAAGTCACGATTTAAGATGTGCTTTCAGGTGTGTTTTCGGTGCTCATGACATAGTTCAGGTCGTGGCTAAGTGTCCCAGATTTGTTTTCTGGCTTGTTGTTGTAAGACTAAGTGAGGTTTGTCTTTCTTCTTAGCAAATTAAGCAGTCAACAACAAACATATGAAACAAATTAAGCAGTAGTAGGAAATGGCTTGGAATAAGGTGAATGGCGCACACTGTAGTGTCGGTGACACATTTTAGAGTGAGAATGACTCTTCCTACTTTAACGACATGTTTTTAAGTAATGGTATGCCAACATAATGTATGAACGAAATAAGAGAGTCCAAGAGACTTTCCACAAATGAGAATCGGTTGCTTTGAGAGAGCGTGCGACTGAGCTGATAGGCAATTGTCAATCTCAGAAAAATGCTATACTGTCTACTTTCACGAGGGATTTCATAAACATGCCAACTGATTTGAGAACATATCGTGTATAATAAATAAAAGACTTTCCAGAATAGAGAAACGGCTGCCTAGAGCGAGTGCACGCGCCTAATAACAACCACTTTCAGTGAAATTCGAGTTCTCGACCTAAGTGACTAGGAGTCTTTTACATCGAATTGCAGGGTAATTTATCTAACTCGACGAGACAAAGATCTTTTTAGTACTCTTCTTTTAGATTGTGTAAGGAGGCTATATGGGTAAGATAATTAACTATGTAATGTATGCCTTATTCGAACGTTGGTTCCCCTACATTTTTGTTTTAATGGATGTCTCGGTGACCAGCTGCAGAAGCAGATCTCCAGTTTACAATGACGCCTTCTAATCCAACCTATGTTAATCATGGAAGCACTGCAAAACTGGTGTGGGGCTACAGTGACTCAAACAATGAGCTTCAAGCCATTATCTTTAGTGTGGAGGTGGATGGTATTAGAGAAAAAGGATTTAAACGAATGATGGTTAAAAGAAATGGCGTTGTTCAGGGACATCCAGATTTACCTCCTGTTTATAAAGGGAGAGTCAGGATTGAAGGAATTGCCACCTTAGTCATTGAGAACATAACCACCCTAGACAACACTCGGTTTAGATGTCAGTTGATTGGCTCCAAACGCGATAGGAAAAGTCTCGTTCAGCTTATTGTGGCGGGTATGTGTTGAAAAATAACTTTTATTATGATACTGGCTACTACTAAAAGATATATTAGCAGTATTTAACACCTGTAGTTTTTTTTTATTTTTTTTTTTATATGACGTTATTGAATCCCATATTTATAAATGTTTATCATTTCCTAATTGTGCCTGTTGAGAAGCCTGACCAAAACGCCAGGTGGAGAAAAAGGACGAAATCAATACATGTAGTTCCCTTCAATGGATGACAAAACGAACAATTTAATTCCATGTTAAACGGGTTTTTTTTAGTTACAAGCCCAGAATCCCAAATTGTAGCAGTATTTCGTATTAGTCAACGGAAGAGTAAATTGCAGAGAAAAACCTTTCTCCTTACAGCTTTGTTAGAAAATGGCTGATTATTCATGATGCTGCGCAAGAAAAACTTACGAAACAACTGACTGTACAAGTACCTAGGTGTCTATCTGGACCCTATATTGAATCTTGACAAGCACTTTTACAAAACATACAAGAAATCTGCAGGAAGAGTGAATTTATAACGACGAATCCGTTCTAACACTGACACCTTAAGCGCTGAACGAATCTACAGAGCAATGTTAATGCCCATATTCACTTACTGCGGTCAAATTACGCTTGGTTGGTCAGAGACACGAAGGTGCCAAATAAGAAACCTGGAACAACGTAGTCACAGGATTATTCTGCAAAACTCAAAATGTCTAAACTGTGAACTCCGTCTACCCACAATTGAAAATTTTTTAAAGAAAAAGGCTTGTTTATTTGTTTTTGATTGCCTAAAAGGCAATGTTTGTAGTCCTTTCAAAGAATATTTTAAATTGTTAACCCACGATTTTAATACGAGGAACAGAGGGACCACCGTTGCTCTGCCGAAAGTGAGACTTGACTTTGCTCGGAAAAGTTTTTATTTTTTAGGAGCTTCAGCTTTTAATTTTTTACCTTTAAAAATCAAGCAAATTAGCAGTAGGGTACCATTTAGGGAGTCTTTAGATCAATTTTTTGCATAGGGCATTTAATTAGGTGCGTAGTCATTCTTATCTTATTCTAGTTTTTATCCTTATATTATGTTATTTAGACAGGACCCCATTGATAACAGTGCTCCTGCACTGAAGGGCTATCCTGTATAAATATTCGTTATTATTATTATTATTATTATTATTATTATTATTATTATTATTATTATTATTATT